AATAAGAAAAAAATGTAAAACAATTTTAAAAATTATAAAATAAATAGAAAAGTTAAATTTTTTTTTATTCATTATTATGTCTAAAGAGGAGAATTTAAAGGCATTACTTGGTATTTAATGTTTTTTTATATAATTTTTATAATAAATTAAATGACATCATTTCATTAGACTAAAAAATTAATAAAAAGCATTTGCTCAAGCACTCTAGGTGCCATTAAGCACACCTAATAGTGCCTGGATGCACTTAATTGATCTGGGTGGTGCAAACCGCATTAAATTTCTGCAGGTGGAATGGCATCGCCTAGAGCCTAGGCTGATGCGGGCAGAATGGCACTGCCTAGAGCCTAGGCGGTGCCTAGGCAAGCTTTTTACAACACTGAATAATATTAAAAGACATAGTTTACAGAAATAACCACTAAGTGTATCGTTAAAAGAAAGATGTTCACCATATATTCTCTTATTTTATCCCTTTCCATTTATATTCTAGGTAGAAGATGTTAACTGTTTCAAAAATGGATTACCATATTCTTTAAAAGGGAAACTAAATAGAAAGTGCTTAGACCTCAGTTTCTGCCTACCAATCCATACTCAATAGCATCCCTTTTTGTCTTTTTGTTTGGTTATGTTTATTAGTCTTACTTTTTTTCATCAACGCATACTTTACAAGGACATGGCCTCTTTCTCTGCTTTTAACTATCTTTCTCCATTAGTGCAGTCTTAATTTGATAAGAAACCAAACATGAGTGAGTATAAATAACAAAAGGGAAAAAATAATATCCACTTGGATTTCAAAATTGCTTCTATGTATATACTGGAATATATACTGGAAACTATTGTTCCATAATCATTTCAGAGCTATTCTTTTAAAACCAAAAAAAAAAAAAAAAAAAAAAAAAAAAAAAAGAATAAAAGAAAAGAAGAAAGATATACCTCAGCTCAGTTTTGGAATGTGCCACATCAGATTGCACAGTGAGGTGTGGAATGGTAATCAATTGGGTCTCATCAATGCCATATATTGCATGACCACATATGTAACCAATTTGACGCCTCTTTGTAACCAAGATCAAGTAGTATGACTCCAGAAACTTAATGCAACCTAAAGACCAACAGCATTAGAGTTATCTCCACACAATCCATCCTTTTAGTGGCATAATAAGAATAACCCATCACTAACCTGCAATCCCATAAGCTTTTACAACAGAGGTCAAGCCACCGGTGGCGCGATTGCCTTCAGCAATCCTTTGAAGCAAGTTGTTCATCTCCTGCGGTGAATAAACCACTGGATCTTCACTAATATTGAGATCAGATTGCTCTGATCGATCAATCTTCAAAACTCGGAAAAATCTCTTGTTTCTATCACTCCCAATTAGATAAAACCTCTGCCCAGTGAAAACAGTGAGATCTTCATTCCAAAAATAAAAGCTTCAAAAATATCATAGAATTAAAAAATATATATATGTATTGTATAAAAGCTTCATCTTTGTGGCAGGGAAACTGAAATCACTCATAAAATAAAACTAGGAAAATTTGCACCGGACTCCAATTCTCACAGCAGCTTCAAAAATTCTATACAAATCAGTCTCATTTAAGCTAAAATCAATCCAAACTCTACTTTAGGATTTAACTAAACCCCTATTTTATTAATCCAAATTTTTTCGATAAAATGGGAAAAACAAAAAATATGAAAGTGTCAAAGTAAACAGAATGATGCAATTGATGATACAAACACACGCAATCAAAAAGTTTCTTGCTTTACTCAGATCAACCTCACCCATCAATTTCCTTTTTCCCTTAGAACAGTCGCATACAGCTAAACTTTCCAATCTTGAAAATTTCCAACTTCCCTCTAGTTGACATCGATTTTCGTACACTTTCCTAAGAAACAAACAGCAGATTCAAAACCGTAAGAAAATCGATGCGCTTACCGCTCTCGTCTCGTAGAGCTTAAATTTCTCGAGCGAGTAGGAATTGGAATCGACATCGGCATCATTAGATGGATGAATCTTGGCATAGGACACGTAGGTAAGCGAATTGGATTTCGAATTCTCCGATTTCGCCATGGAATTTTTGGTAGGAAATTTTCGAAGGGATAAGCCGGG